GGACAAGGTACTAAAACGTTTCAGTATGGAGAATTCAAAGAAAGGGGAGTTACCGATCCAAAGCAACGCCATGTTGAGTAAGACTCAAAGCTCGAGTACCGAAGCCAAGATGGCAGAGATGAGCCGAATACCCTACGCTTCCGCAGTTGGCTCAATCATGTATGCCATGACTTGTACTCGCCCTGATGTGACCTTCTCTTTGAGCATGATCAGCAGATATCAGGGGAACCCTGGCAGAGCACATTGGACTGCAGTCAAAAATATTCTTAAGTACCTTCGGAGGACCAAGGAATGGTTTCTAGTCCTCGGTGGGAGTGATGACTTAAGGGTGCGAGGGTATAGTGACGCCAGTTTTTAGACAGACCGAGATCATTATCGATCTCAGTCAGGCTGGGTCTTTACCCTAAATAGAGGAGCAGTGACTAGGAAAAGTTCCAAACAGGAGACCGTAGCTGATTCAACGTGCGAATCAGAGTACATAGTAGCGAGCGAAGCGTCAAAGGAGGCGATATCGTTGAAGAACTTCATCAGAGACCTTGGAGTTGTGCCAACCATAAACGAGCCTATGGAGATTTTTTTGCGATAATGAAGGAGCGGTTGCCTTGACCAAGGAACCGAGGGATCATGGTAGATCTCAACATATCGACAGGAAATATCACTTTATTAGACATCGGGTAGAAGAGGGACTCCTCGTAGTGAAGAGGGTATCGTCAGAGGATAACCTAGCAAATCCCCTTACGAAGGGACTGAGTTGGGTTAAGAACTTGCAGCACGCTAGGAGCATTGGGCTGAAGGACGATATTAGTTTAGATTAGATAGTTTCGAAATGTGTAATAGATAAATTGTATGAACATTTGATGATTAAATAAAAGACTATTATTTATAAGTAAAGTTACTGTCTTGTGTTAATCATTTACCTATTGTTTCACTTTGCATGTTTTGACTTCCTAAATAATAAGATTATTCGAACAGTCCACAGTCGCTCATACTTTGGAAGTAGGTATGAAAGAAGACTGTCATGAATTGGTTGTAGACTGTCTAAAGAGTATTAGACATAGCAAAGGTTTGCTGCAACGTTCATGAGTGCTTATGAACAAGATTTGAGCATTGGATTAAACCCACGCTTGCTGGTATCACTTCGTGGAATTTATCACGAGTGATCGCAAGACGATAGTATCATATAGTCTTTAGACCTAGATATATGGTTTATTGTTTGCAAGTTGGTTGTGCTATGATAATGCGTAAACGCATCAGTAACTTGATGTTATAAAACACATTGTTGTGCATGATTTGATGAGTGAATAGTAAATGCATATAAGTCGAAGTTTATATGTTCCTTTTATCCTAAGAGGGTAAAAGCGATATCTGGGCCCCTCGATGATTTGGTTTGACTTATGTGCCAGGCCCGGCCAGGACTGAATTGATGTGTTCAGTTAAGTTCTATGTCAAAGGAATCAGAGATCGAGAAACAAACTGCTGGATAATAAGTATGACTATGTTCCATGTATTTGTCCGCATTGATATCTAGAACTGAGTATTATACAATCCCTTATCTAAAGGACAGATTACTGATAAGATCAAAGTTCGACAGCGTCTTTGAGAGCTACGATTGCTAATCGGATCCTGAAGTCGTACTTGCATTGATAGTTACTAGACTTATCCAAGTGGGAGACTGTTGGATTAGTGTCTAAGCCCGTAACTATATTTGTATGTACTTGACCCGGTTGTGCATGGTCCTTTTGGGTTGCCTTCACCAAAGCAACTGGACAGGATGATTTATGGAGAGAGAGGGAGAGAGAGGTTATTATGGTTTACTGATATATTATATGAATAATATATTAAAAGTGAAATCATATGGTTTAATTAATATTGGTCAATAATTAATTAAGAATTAATTTTGTGGCTAAAAGTGATTAATTAAATAAGGAGGACTGGAACTGTCAATTATGAGATGATTTATTTTGAGCTGTGAATCCTTATGGATATAAGGGGGGATGAAATTTAGAGTGGAAGCCCACTCTAATTTCATCCAAGGGGCCTTATTCCAGAAGGTTCTTGAAGCTGCCTAGGGCCTAAGTCATCCAATTAGGGTTTTAATTGAAACCCTAGCAGCTCAGCTATTTAAGGGACCCCAAGGCTACAGATTTCGGCTACCAGAAGAAACCCTAGAGTTCATATAGCTGAAATTGTGCCTCTCTCCTTCTCTTTTCTAAATCATCTTCTTGCCTTGGTGTTTGTAATCAATTAGAGGTATTACACTTGTGATACTAAGCTTTTGAAGATTAAAGATTCTTGCAACTATTGAAAGGTATCATCTAAACTTGTTTTATTATAGATATCGTTATTCATAGTAGGCTAGCTTAGGGTTTGCAAGCTTTGGATAAATTGCATGTACAATAGAGAAACCTAGATCCAAAGCTTTAGGGTTTTGCAAGTGCACATAGGATGTTCTTTTGCTCAAAACCCATCAGAAAGCTTATCACCAAAATTATGATGCCTCTAATGCCTCACACCCAAACCCTAGAAGTAAAAGATAATAAGATTTGAATGATTAAATAATAGATTTAATCCTAATTCAAGTCCCTTCCTTATTTACAATCAGGAGGCTTTTGGAAACCATAGAAACCCCCTAATTTCATTCACCCCTATATGGGTTCTAGAATTTTCTTTCCTTCCTCACGTATGACCAATTACAATTCAACCCTTAGACCTTTAATTAATTCCAATTAATCCTGAATTAATTCCAGATTAATTCAAATTAATAATTAATTAATTCTAATTCATTTCATATTAATTTATTAATCATAATAAATTAACAAATCAATTTTCGATTTCCAATTGATATATTAAACACGTAATATATCAATAAATCATTTCCTTATAATTTCCAATTAGTTTATTAATCATATAATAATCTAATAAATTATCCTCTCTTTATAGATGTCATTCTAATCAAGTTCTAGTTATGAGGGAAATCCAAAAAAGACTTTGTTTCTAATTACAAGAATATACCAATTTAGTTACTGACATAATCAATACACACCATAATTTACAACGCAAAGACCTATTGAAACATCAAAACATAAGTAATTGTATCTCATATTAAAACATATGTCAATATATCAGAATAAATATCTGAAGCTATAAACATAATGGTGTTTGCACTGCAGTCATCCCGAGCCCTTCCCCTTGCTACCAGAAGTACCTGAAACCAAAATTGAAAACTGTAAGCACGAAGCTTAGTGAGTCTCCCAACTACCACATACCATACACATAACACATAACATATCTTGGGCCCCGCCCCTACTACATCGAGTCAAGCTCGACATCGGCTTTCCCTGCATCGGGCCCCGCCCGACATCGAACCCTATTCGGCATCGGGCCCCGCCCGACATTGAGCCCCGAATGACATCGAGCATTTCTCAGAATACATGTGAGCATAATCAAATAATACACATAACCCTAAGCATATATCATTAACATTTAAACATTTCATTGGGCCCCGCCCGGCATCGCACTGTAATCCAGTATCATACTAACATTCCTTAGGACCGCCCCAACATTGAACCGAAGTTTGGAAACATACAATACAAACACATGCAAGAATCACAAAGACATCAAGCATACAAGCATTCCTCCGGACCACCCCGACATCGGATCGAAATCTGGAAAAAACATATAAACCTACATCGGTCCCCGTTCGGCATCGGACCGGAGTCCGGAACTACTACTAACTAAACGGGTAGGCCTTGGTGCCTTAGACCCGTTCCTACTGGAGGAAACTCACCTTGAATGCTAGCTGTGAAATCTCGTGTGAGGAATCTCTGACGGCTGCTCCAACGACTCCCCGGCTATCAATTTCACAATAACACTTAATAAAAATCTAACAAATCTTCTTAGGGTAAAATGGCCATTTTACCCCTGGTCAAAGTCAACGCCCTAGTCAAATTCAAAGTCAAGGTCAACTCCCAGTCAACCCAACTCGTCGACTTATCTCCCAACTCGGCGAGTTCATGTACTACTCATACTCGTGGTCAACCGATCATGCTAGACTCGTCAAGTTTCCATGTCTGTTTGGGGTATCTTAATGGATTAAGCCCCTACACTTAAGATCCAAGCTTCATACTTCATATAAACCCTGAAAATTTCCTTTTAAGGGTAATGTTTTTGACTTTACCCATTAATACCACTTCTTAAAGGGTTTAGCTCAAACCCTAATTCCTTGGGACCTAGAGCTTGGTCCTTAAGCCTTCCTTACACTATACTCAAGCTTACAACCTCATATATAAACCCCTAACACTACTTGGACACGTAAAGTTCCCACCTTTTCCCCACATGCATGGCCTTTGGCGCTAAAAAGTCCAATATGATACTCTATGGCTTGCATGGGGGCTCCAATGTCATAAATTTTGCACCTTTATGTCATAACAGCCCCTCAAGGTCCTAGATCTGGAAGATTATCCACATGGGTCGTCTATTCTCCAAAGGTTATCATTCTTGGGCCAAAACCTTCATAAAAAGGGGAGGAAGAGATCTAATGAACTAGAGGTCAAGATAGAAACTTGATTACCAGAAAATGTAGCCAAAGAAGTGTAGTTTCTAGATCTACTCTCTTCCTCTTCAGCCTCTAACTCCTTCTTCTTCTTCAAGCTTCAAGAACACAAAAGATTTCTTACAAATGGCTCACACATTCACAAGATGCTCTAGGGTTTCGTGGATTAGGGTTTGGGACAAGGAGGCTGTAAATGAGGCTAAGGGGTGGGGGTTTAAGAGCTTAAATAGGGTACAAAACCCCGAAATTAGGGTTTCATTCTGGACGATCTACTCTCCAAGTCGAGGGCTCTTGACTCGTCGAGTAGATAGCTCAAACCCCGTGCATAATCTGCCTTCTACTCGACGAGTTAGGGCCACCAACTCATCGAGTTCCTCTCTTAAAATGAATAAATAAATAAGTTAAATGCATACCAGGAACCAGGAGTTACAATTCTCCCCCACTTGTCTTAGACTTTGTCCTCGAAGTCTGCTGCATCCGAAAATAACTCCGGGTAGTGGTCCCTCATCTCCTCCTCGGGCTCCCATGCCCACTCTGAACCCTTGCGGTGCTGCCACTGCACCTTCACTAACTGAACAACCTTGTTCCTCAAGGTTTTCGTCTTACGGTCCAGGATCGCCACCCGTCTTTCGATATAGTTCAGGCTGTCGTCAACCTGAATATCCTCCAAGGGCACAATCGCTGAATCATCCACTAAGCACTTCCGCAATTGGGAAACAGGGAAAATGATGTGGATTTGACTGAGCTCTGCCGGTAGATCTAATCGATAAGCCACCTTGCTCACCCGGGTTGTAACCCTGAAAGGACCAATGTACCTGGGGCCTAGCTTTCCCCGTTCCCGGAACCGGATGACACCTTTCCAAGGTGACACCTTCAGGAGGACCATATCACCCACCTGAAACTCTAAATTTGAACGCCGCTTGTCGGCATAGCTCTTCTGCCGACTCTGAGCAGTCTGGATCCTGCTCCGGACCTGCTGGATCCACTCTGTAGTCTTGAATACTACCTCTGTACTCCCCATGACTCTGTGACCGACCTCACCCCAACAGATTGGGGTCCTAAACTTCCTCCCATAGAGCATCTCGAAGGGAGGTCGGTCTATGCTGGCGTGGTAACTGTTATTATATGAAAATTCCGCTAACGGAAGATACGTATCCCACCTGCCACCGAAATCCAAAACACGTGCGCGTAGCATGTCCTCGAGAGTCTGTATCGTCCTCTTGCTCTGTCCGTCCATTTGAGGGTGGAAAGCGGTGCTGAAGTGGAGATAAGTACCCATCTGCTCAAACCGCTTCCAAAATCTGGAAGTGAAACAGACATCTCGGTCTGACACCACCGAGACAGGCACTCCATGTCGTGCCACTATCTCACGCACATATATCTTGGCCAGCTTCTCAGTCGATATGCTCTCCTGGATCGGGATAAAATGAGCGCTCTTGTTCAACCGATCCACGATGACCCATATCGAATCTACTCCACGTGTGGTCCTGGGAAGCTTGGTAATGAAATCCATGGTGATATCCTCCCATTTCCACACGGGAATGTCTAGTGGTTGCATCTTTCCATGTGGTCTCTGGTGCTCAGCCTTGACCTTCCTGTATGTCAGACACCGCTCCACGTACCAAGAAACGTCCCGCTTCATGCAGGGCCACCGGTAATCAGGGCGAAGATCCCGGTACATCTTCGTTGCCCCAGGCTGGATGGAGAACCTCGACTTATGGGCCTCATCCATCAGAACCTGCCGTACTCCGCCCCAGTACGGAATCCAGACCCTCCCATGTAGGTTCAATAACCCTCGGCCGTTATAATCAAACGAGGCCACCCGACCTACAATCTGCTTGCACTTCTGGCGCTCTTCCTTCACGCCCTCAAGTTGCGCCTCTCTAATCTTCTCTAGCAGTGGAGTAATCATTGTCATCCTCAAACATATTTCTCTAATCGGAGCCTCCACCTCCTTGCGGCTCAGGGTGTCGGCCACCATAATGGCCTTGCCCGGGTGGTAAAGGATCTCACAGTCATAATATTTTACCACATCTAACCACCGATGCTGCCTCATGTTCAGATTCAGCTCATCCATGAGGTACCTCAAACTCTAGTGCTCCGTGTAAATGGTACAACAGACTCCGTAGAGGTAATGCCACCAAATCTTGAGGGCAACAACCACAGCCCCCAGCTCTAAATCATGAGTTGGATAGTTAGCCCCGTGAGGATTCAGCTGCCTCGACATGTAAGCTACCACATGACCACTCTGCATCAAAACTGCACCCATGCCCGTAATCGACGCGTCACAATAAACCACGAAGTCATCAACTCCCTCGGGCAGAGTCAAAATCGGTGCCTCGCATAATCGCTGTCTAAGAGTCTCGAAGGGCGCCTGCTGCTTAGGCCCCCAGCGAAATGTCACCGACTTCTTGGTCAGTCGGGTCAAAGGAACGGTGATCTTGGATAAATTCTGGATGAATCTCCGGTAATAACCCGCTAGACCAAGAAAACTCCGAATCTTAGTTGGAGACTTCGGAACCTCCCACTGCATCATGGCCTTTATCTTGGCTGGATCGACCAGAATACCCTCCCTGTTGACGAGATGCCCAAGAAACTACACCTTGCGCAACCAGAACTCACACTTGGAGAACTTCGCAAAAAGTCTCTCCCTCCTCAGTGTCTCTAGCACCTCCCTCATGTGCTCCTCATGCTGCTCCCGAGTCTCGGAATAAACCAAGATGTCATCGATGAGAACTATCACAAACCAATCCAACATCGGTCTGAACACGTGGTTCATGAGGTCCATGAACACGACTGGAGCATTGGTGAGCCCAAACGACATCACCACGAACTCATAGTGACCATAGCGAGTCCTAAAAGTTCTCTTCTGCACATCCTCGTCCCTGACTCGCATCTGGTGATAACCTGATCGCAGATCAATCTTGGAGAACCAAGATACACCCTGTACCTGGTCAAACAAATCATTGATCCTCGGGAGGGGATAACGGTTCTTCACCGTTACCTTATTCAGCTCCCGGTAGTCTATGCACATCCGATGCGAACCATCATTCTTCTTCAAAAAAAGGATCGGTGCTCCCCATGGAGAACTACTCGGCCTAATAAATCCCTTGTCTAGTAGCTCTTGCATCTACGTAGACAACTCCTGCATCTCGGGAGGAGCCAACCGATATGGTGCCTTGGTTATCGGAGCCGCACCAGGGACTAAGTCGATCCTGAACTCAACCTGTCTCTCCAGAGGTATCCCAGGAAAATTCTCCGGGAATACGTTCGAGTACTCTCGTACGACGGGTACATCTTCCATTGTCGCCTTACCCTTATCTTGGGTATCCATCACATAAGAGACATAACCTGCGGCGCCCGGCTGAAGATAACGCCTCGCCCTCGCTGTTGAACATAAAACCGGTCCGAGTTGTGGCCTCTCGCCCTGAATCACTAACCCTCCCCCACTAGGAGTCCGAACCCTCACTAGCTGCTGCTCGCAGTCGATCACTGCCCCATTGGGGCTCAAACCAATCCATACCTACTATAACCTTATTCCCTCGTAGGGGAATAGGATCCACTAAAAACTGCTCATCGAATAACTGTAGTGTACAACCTCTGTGAACCCTCGCAACTCTAACGGTCCTGTCATCTGCTATCTCCACATCAATCGGGCAATCCAGATCCCCCCGGAGCCCCTACGAATCGCTTGCTGAGTGCGAGCAACAAAAAAGATCGGGTTGCACCCGAATCAAAAAGTACCAAGTCTGAGATACCGTTCACTAAGAACGATCCTATAACAAACACATAAACATAAGCAATAATCATAACGAATAAAGAGATAAGGAGAGAATACATACCCGTCACAACATCGGGAGACGCACGTGCCTCCTCTACAGTAAGCTAGAAAGCCCTGCTCCTAGCCGTAGGCGCCTCTACTCGGCCCTAACAACCATCTGTAATCCTCAACGTGGTAGGAGCGGGTGCCGCCACCTGTCTTGCTGCTTCCAGACTCAGACATTGGGCCTTCTTGTGGCCCCTCTGATTGCACTGGAAGCAAATCAGATCTAAAAATGTTGTGGTAGTGGTGGTAGCCGTACAATCCCTACTCATGTGCCTAGGTCGACCACACTTGAAGCAGCCCGAACTCCCTGCCCTACACGCCCCCTCGTGCATTTTGCCGCACTTGCCACAACAGTTGCGCCCCTGCTGGCTCCTTGATCTGTGATCTGATACATTGGGCTTCTTGCCCGAACCTCCTGTCTGAATCCCATCTGGTTTCCTCTTCCTCTCAAATCTCCAAATCCAACTCCCTCTCTCGAGCACTAGAAATCATGTCCTCCAACGTCTTGCAGCTGGAGCGGCTCACAAACTGGCGGATATCACTCCGTAACATCTCATGATATCGGGCCTTCTTCATCTCCTCGTCCTCCACGTACTGCGGGACGAGAAAGGCCCTCTCCCTAAACTTGGCGGTGATCTCCCTCACTAGCTGTTGCACCTCAATCACAGGTGCAAACTCGGTCCTGAACCTGGCCGAAAAAATCACTCCAGGTCATAGCATCTAGAAATGTATCATGCCCAATGGCTCGTCCGACCTCTTCCCCCCAATCTCGTGCCCTGTCCTTCAGAAGACAGGATGCAAGTCGGACCTTGTCCCCCTCAGGACATCTGCTCGTACGGAATGCGTTGGTGACATCAGCCAACCATCTGCTGCTATCAATGGGGTCCCGAGCCCCATGATAGTCAGGATCTCCACAAGCCCTGAACTCCCAGAAAGTCAGTGTGCGCGACCCCATCATCGCCACCACCTCAGTGCGGAAAGTGCTCAGCTTCTCATCCAGAAGCTCCAAAATACCCTCCTTGACCGAACGAAAGATCACAGGAGTCTGGTCTAGAATGGTACGTGTGATCTCAGATAATATGAACTCCCTCGTGTTCTCGTCAAGCTCCCCAGCTCCAGTGCCCGAGCCTGATCTCTTACCTGTGCCTGAAGTGCCAACTGGCCTAGTGCGTAGCGTCACCATAATGAAAATACACCATAACAAACATCAGTATACTCATCATATCTCGAGGGATCTAACACACTACATGTTTCCTGGATTCATCTCAGCCTTCCTTGATTCGAGTACGGATCCTCTGCTTTCAGTAGTACGGGCCCATACTACCTTCCACATCTATCCGTACTTTCCTCAAGAACTGCCTCGACTCCATCAAGTCCCTTCTACTACTACCGCTGATCTCATGCTAAACTCATCCTAGGCTTGCCCTAGGGTAATCACCAACCCACTCTCCTCTATCAGTTGCATAATAAGTTCCTGCTATCTCCCTCTAACTAGCTTGTGAATATTATTACATATCACTAAGACTAGATAATCCTTCGAATGAGAGATCTTACCCTATAACGGTTGGACTCAAACAAGAGCTGCGCAATATAGCTAGACCTAACCTTCTGAAATTACTTAATCCTCGCAATATGTAACTTAACATATTCATTTACTAGTTAGTAAAAGATAACTAGAACTCCTAATAGCACAAAGCAAGCATCATTCGAGCATCAAGTAAACAAAATCAAGCATATATCTCTCAGGCTATCCTTGACTAATCTGTATTAGCATGCAATTCATAAAGCTTAGATACATATAACAGGCACATAAGGCATCCTTCCAAGATCCTTTGTCCTAATCTAGCATGCAATTCTCACAAAGCTGGTACACATATAATAGGCACATAAGGCATCCTTCCTATATCGTTAGTCCTAATCTAGCATGCAATTCTCATAAACATATCATAACATAAACTTGTATGGGTAATTTGGAAGTACTTACTTTAGCTCGACTGATTGCATGCACCACACCCTTTTTCTCTTTTCAAAGTTCTTTTCTCTTTTAAAAGTTCTTTTTTAAAAAATGTTTTTCTTTTGAAAAATTTTCATACCAAGTCCTTAGTTTGAGTTCAAACACACCCGAGAGAGTGCCCGAATCCCTCAAACCAAGGCTCTGATACCCACTTGAAACATTCCAAAAATCATGCCCAAAA